TGTGTGTATGTGTATGTGTGTATGTGTATGCGTGTGTGGAGAAAAATTGAAGATTGAAGGGGACCAAAGAAGAGAAATCGAAGACTGACAGTGTAAAACAGTTTGGATTAAAGATTCAGAGAGCCAAAAGACAATAAAGCAGCAATGAGGAAGAGGATGATAAAGTTGCGAAAATAGCGTGTAATTAGACATTGAAATGGGAGATGTTGCAAGACAAATTAACGTTTAATAATTGTAGAAGAGCTTGAGGGCGAAAGGATGTGTCCAGCGAGGAGACAACAAAGATCGAAAGAAAGTCCAAAGCATCGGTCGAGAACATTCTAGCAAAGCGTCGATTGGACGGGCTGGTGGTCAGTTTGCTATGGTTTGGAGATAGTGAATTGATGCACTCGCGGAAGGTCATACGGTGAGGTGCGGTGCTGAGTTTGCGTGTGTTCACGTGAGTGATGGGAATAGAAGGTGTCGTCAAAGCTGCGCTCCGTTATTGTTGTTCAACTAATTGTTTTTCCCACTGAAATTTTTAGGAACGTAATCACATATTTCAAATTAATCAGATTTTTTAAACAAGTCCTAGGATTGATTTTAAAGACTGGCAAATTGTTTGTTGATCGATTACCTTGTTCACTTATGAGATGATTTGTTTGTTTAATTCTTCGGTATTTATGCATGAAAAAAAAAAAACTATTTTTCATTCTCTGAGTAACACTATGTGGTTTGTTACAGCTGTTGCTTTTGGATTTTGAATTTTGCTAGACTTTTGCAAAAGTAGCAGAAATGGAAGAGCGTAGTGAATTACGACATGACTTGTATGAGTTGCGAAGTTTGCGGACAATTTCATCTCGCCAGATGATAAAAAATATGCTGGATGAAAAAATCATCGAAATTGAAGGCAAGGTAGTAATTTTGTTTCTTATCTGATAGAGTATAATACTGTTTAATTTAATTCGATAAAATAATCGGCTAAAATCACTGTCAATATGCAGCGCTTTTTTTTTCAAACGAGACAGCTAAAAGTGTTCCTAATTATACGGTTCTCATTTGCTTGCCAAATAAGAAAACTAACATTTAAATAATGGTTAGCAAATATTATTATCTTTTCTATTTCAGATAAAAGCATTGGAAGCGGCGAATAACGTTAATGGATGTGGTGATGTACCAGTCTTAAAACAATCGAAGACAGAAGCAGTATCTTCGAATGCTGTACCGTTGGCGACAGTGAAAATCACTAATTATGGTAGCTGAACACGTTCACAATGAGTTATGCAATCTGTAGTATCGAAGTTTCGCTTGAAACTTCATTTACCGTAGTGTGCTCTTCAGGGCATTACAATTATCCTTTTCTATATTTATAGTAATATAAAAAGAAGTCATTAGATTACTTTTTCATGGCTTCAGTATCACAGGCTGCAAGATAATGCTGTTTATTAATAGAAAAGTGAAATTCAACATCAAGAGCTAAGATTTCGAACAGATAGATTCCAGTTTCATTTCAAATACAACAATGTTTCTTCCACTTCAGAGCTTCGTCATTTTATGTGAAAATGGCTGTGTAGTGAAAAAATTCTCAACTGTTATTATTTCAGCTTGGGATCAGAGTAACAAATACGTGAAGCTTTATCTCACCATTCCAGACATACACACTGTTCCGCAAGAACAAATTGCAGTTAGCTTTACAGAAAGGTAAAAACTAATAGTTATGCACTGTTAGAAGAAAAAGAATCTCTGTAATGATGAATATCTAGACAAATTTTGCATGCTTTCAAACAGTGTTTAGTCGTAGTTGTTGTGACATTTCATTTCTTGATTGCAGTGAAGTTGAAGTTAATGCTCGTGATATATCATCAAAAAATTACTCTTTGATAATAAAAGGTTTACTCAAAGCAATCAATCCATCCAAATCTTCTTTCAAGGTAACACTTCAATTATGCTTAAGCCCCTATTATTTGTTCTTCGAAAATATCAAAATTTTTGAATTTTATTTAGAATTATTTTCATTTACTTCAAAGTTCAATCCATCTGTACATCTATATAAACTTCGAGTTAATGGCTACATTTCCACTATCAGGATAATGTATATCAGGCCGTAGATTCTTAGCTTTTTTTGTTGCAAAGCAGCCATTTCTATTCCACATGCTCTATTTGTTTTAATTAAATTTTTAATGCTAATATACCACAAGCTTATCTTCTCATGCTACATTACCACTGCTACAAAACTTTAACCAAAAAGTTATTTTGATTCTAGTAAAATAACTTGTTTTAATTTTATTCGATTTATAGCAAAAAACTAATCTTCTATTGATTATGATGGAAAAGAATGAAGAGGGGAATTGGAAGTATTTAACTAAAGCAGAAATGCAGAGCAAAGAAAAGAGGTTAGGATTTTATGTCACTTGTTTTAGGAATATTATAATTAATTCACAGTGGTCCCAAAACATTTTAGCTGTGTCATAACTTTTCTGAAAGCAGTGTTTTATTTTATCAATTTGGAACTTTTCGTCTGACATGTATATAATCTCTTTTGTTTAGCACACCCAAATTTGACCAGAAAGCAGATCCACAAGAGTCACTGATGAGTATGATAAAGCAATTGTACGATGATGGAGACGATGATATGAAAAGAACAATTTGTAAAGCATGGCATGAAAGCCAAACAAAAAAGAACGTAGACCCCGATGAATCAATGTAATTCCGTCCACACGACATTATCTGAAATGATTTCTAATATTGTCGAGAATTCTCGTTTGTATTGATTTTGCATGCCTTCTGGAATATGGGAATAACTGATTTACTTCACTCTTCAAAATTATCAGTAATATCTTGGCATTTCGTGTCTCATGCTTTGTTATGTTCTGTTTCAAATACTGTTTGTTTTTCATTATTTGATAACGGTAACGATCAATCAAGTACTTTTGTCATGCTTTTAAACTTACACTACGAAATATTTTATTAACGGAAGATCAGAAGGAGTGGTAAACAAAATATTAGCAAGAAGGCTTTTTTCACGACCATTCCTTTTTCTATCAAGAACAAAAATTTTAATTTGAAGAGGTAGTATGTATCTAATAAATAATGGATGTTCTTATACTATACAATATCGTCTACATAGATGGAAGTAGAACTTTGTTTTTAAATCCTTATAATGACTGAGATGAAACACTGGCAGGGTCAGCTGGCCACCAAGAAGGCAGAAAGATTTCGATATCCTCATCCTTCGATTGAAAATGTGTTGGTGGAGTATTCCGTGAAATAGGTACCAAAGCTAAACCTTTCCTTCCAGTGCATGCGATCACCTTTCCCGTACGCCGTCCAACGTTAATCAGTGAGCCAGTAACCATACCTAAACAGAATTTAAAATATAAATTGAAGGCGTTGATAAAAAAGAGAAGAGTAAGAAGGATATAGTTGACCTCAGAATTAACTGGAAGATTTTAATATTTATAGAACATCGAGGGAAGGGATGTGGGGAACTTATCTGTTTCGGTTGATAAAATTTATAAATACATGATACGATAAAGATATGATCAAAATTAGAAAAAAGTCCTTACGTTTACATGTGAAGGGCAAAAGCCGTTTCCGTATTTCCGGTGCGTTTAACGCAAGGGCTGTCAATTCCTGCCCTAAATAACATCCTTTGTTAGCACTGAAATATATGAAATTGTCAGTATTGCATAAAATGAAGATATTCGACGAAACCTCAAATGCCAATTCCATCGGAATCAGAAAATAAGGCACGAACAGAGTAAATTTTAAAAAAAAGTGTAACAGTGTATAAAGAATCAAGTTAAAATAATGTTTCATACTCAGAACAATCTGTACAACGTACAATACCCATATCATTCAATAAAAGTAAGGTGCTGAATATTGAGAATCAAAATTACAATATTTACAGACCTTATACCATTCATGATATCGGCATTCATGAACAATGGAAGCTCGCCAGCTAATTCACTCGGTCCTTCTGGTATACCAAAATCAAAACGTCTTTCTCGGTATGCATTCTCGTCTGCTGAATGATCATCTGGAAGCTAAAAACTGGTAAGCACCAGCAATTAACAAAAAATGGAAACATGACATTATTTATTAAAAAATATATTTACAAAAAATTTACATGATACTATTACCTGGTAAAATTTCACTAAGAATACGTTTACCAAAGGATGGTACTCGCGGATCTTCGATACCGGGGATATCATTTGTCATATTATCAGCATGATAAACATAGCTCTTTGTTTCTTCTTCAATTGTTACATCTTTGTGAACTTTAAACATTTCCAACAATTTCCGTAAATTCGATTGATTGTTTCGATCACTTTCAATCAAAATTTCATCTGCTTGCCGATATAAAATTAAATCTTCCACGATACGGCCACGACTATTGAGCAGCAAAGCATACTGCGCTCGACCATCTGCTAAACGTCTAAATCATTATTTTCATTAATTTACACTTGTAAAAATCAAACAAAAGTTCAGTGAAACAAAAGTTTCTCTTAACATCTCGTAATACACAGATCAGAAAATGATCCTTAGCATAAGTGATCTTTATCGTATTTCTCTATCACTCTTCATCAAACAACGTATTGATACCACCGATCACAGTTAAAAATATTGAGCAAAGATAACATACTTTGTAGCTTCCTGCATGTAATTAACGATTTATGTAAGTAATCAAATGTTGATTTCACATTTAGAAAAATGACCACATGAATGCATGCTCATAATAAAAATTGATTTGAAAAAAAATACACTTGACCTGATGTCATTTGTGACGAGAGCTTGCAAAAACTGAAATACTTCTCTTCCCCTTGCTCGGAGTAATCCTCGATGTCGAAGATTGTATATAATTCCAGCTCTCATCTTCTTCCAAATTTGAAATCTTGACAAACAAATAGACTTACCTCTGCAGAATCAAAAAATAATCTTAAAACAAATCTCTATGACAAATACGGGACGATATTTTTCGTAATGGATCGCTGATTATCACATCGAGACATCATTTCCAGTCCCTCAGAAAAAGTATGGGTTGCGAGAGGGCGGGGGTTGTACCACTCGGTGTTTTTCGTTTTTGGTGGAGTCTTGAATTTTTTGAATGTTTTGTTAGTTCTCTAATTCTGAAAGTCCATCATTTCTGTTTTTCGGTTTCACTGAGCTAACGTGCATTACTATATACTCAATAATCTTCAGCATTTTGTTTAAATGCCAGAGAGCTATATGTACAGTTAAACTTTATTCTTAAATTTATTGATATCGAATGTAAAAACAGAAATGAATTAATAGCCTCTGTACCGAGCATAGGCAGTATGATAGTGGGACGAATAGAAATAGCATAGCTTTATGGCTGGTGAAATCTTTTGAAGAAAGTAAATAAATCAGGAACAGAAAACTAAATTGAAAATTGTGATAAATACTAAGAAGTCTGGAGTGGGAAGCATGAAATTAGAAAGATTATTTCCGGACAATTTTGAATTCTTTGTAACACTACCACTGAGGCAGTTATTCGTACTAGCAATGATTATTTGCTAACGATAGAAGAAAAATTTGAGTTTTTATGAAATTTGCAGTTTCTCGTTTTGCATTTACTTTAGCGAATGGAATGTCTCAGATTCATTAGTTTTGTCATTCAAGTTGAAAGAGCTATCTAAGAGATTTCAGCACTGAAATAAAAGAAGACTTATAAGGGGAATTAATTTGATGGGAATAGGTAGTACTAATAAGTAGGTTGACAAATGCATAAATGAATAGAGAAGTTAAACGGAAGATTTAAGTAATAGAGTTAAATTTGAAAGAGTTGCAAGAAATAATAGATTTAATCGGACTTTTGAATGGATCCCAACTATCCTGTGGTGAAGGAGTTTCTGGTGACATTGTTGTAGCAGATGCTGTATCATCCCTGTAATTATTATCTGTAATGTTAGCAACTGTTTATAATTGGTAAAAATAAATTTAAGCTCGGAATTATTCACCGAAAAACACTTTAATACTCGTTTCTGAGATTGCTGCAATGAACCTAAAATAAGGCATGAACTGCAATTTAGGAATTATTCTAGATAATTATTTTCGAAAATTCTGGTAACATAACGACGCGATTGTTGAGCGTGTTTCTGCTATCGAATTTGACGTGGAGTACGACGCGCATGACACGACTCAGCCGGTTCACTGCTAGGATAGATTGTATCGCTGAAAATACATTATCGTACTTGAAAAAGACGGATTAGAAGTTGTTCTCGTTCATCAAACTAAAATAATAACTCACTATAAGTTAGATGAAAAGCGAAAAAGTGAAAAAAAGGAGAGTGAGAGGGAAATATGCGAGAGTGATTCTGCTATTTAGCTCATATTCTCAAGTTTACAAGAATTGTTAACTAGACATACGTGAAGATTAATTAAAATTAAAGTCATTTTATGAATGCAGAAAAGGCAAATTGTCCAGAAAGAAATACGTCTGGATTATGTCACTGAATTATGTCAAATCCAAGTTGAAAACGACCATAATCAGACATTACATGCATCAGTGAATTAACTTCGTTGAAAACTACAACCGCATATTGAATAGTGCCATCCATACTTTCATGTAAAGCAATCCTTTTTATTGGGCCTGCCTAAACAATTACAACATAACTTGATTAGAAAGCCTAAAATTAGAAAGCCTATTATGGGTAGATGAGTAGATTTTGATGACCAATAAACAGTTAAATAGGATTAATTGCAAAGAAAATGAGAATTTCAGTATCATTTCTGCAAGTGTTGTGTGAAGGGATCATATCATTAGCAAGGAAATCATTTAAATTTTGGAAAATTAGGGTAAACTGATTTCACTAAAATATCTTAATGAAGTAAAGTAAAAAGTGCTTAAAGTTGTGCTTGCCACATGATAATTAAATTTAGATATGTAAGGGATGAAATTTACCTGACAAAACGTTTCGTAAATGTCGTTGATATACGAAGGTTAATGTTCGATAAATAAAGAATTGTTTTATTCTGATTCGACTGATTCTGTTGTTCCACATCCTTTGACGTGATTTACGCAGAAATAAATACGTGCCAATTCGCAAGGAAGATTGCAAAGTAAACAATTATGCAAGCAAGAAATTACGCACTAAATATATAAAGTACATAATGTTTCGGAAATTTACCATTTTAATTGAAAAAAGATTTGCATATGGTTGAGCGTCATATCACCCCACTTTTTTACTCCATCAGATGGTTTTTGTCAATATATCTACGTTTTCCAGTGTTTACACTACAGTTCAAATGTTTCCACGTATCTCGCCGCTCCTAACATGCGCAATATTCTCGACGCAACAAAAAAAACACCAACAAAACTTTTAGTCAAAAACACCAACAGCACCAACCAAATTTATAATAAACGTATATTTATTATAATAAAATAAGTTACTATACATGTAGTGCGTACGTGTTGCGTGCAAATGGAACTAACCCATCACATCGATGAATACGTGAGATTATCTTCTACTACTGTTGAGTGAATACTTTAGCTTGGAAAAGCAATTTATTTGTCGAGCAATTCACACTTTGAGAAATGAATCTACCGAAGGTCATGAACTAAGACAATTCATTACCGACGTTAATATGCCGTTGCCATAAAATTATTACTGCTCCGCGATCTTTATAACTTCGAGAAGGGAAATTCATTAAATTCATTGTTCCCGGAACACTTTGTCAGAATTTGATGGTGAATGCATTTAAAAGCGCAAAATGACTGGTAAATACAACGAAGGAAACAACGCAGATTATTTGATATCTGTGATTATTGTAAATTTGTTCCAAATATAATATGAAATTATTTAACACTCAATAGCTGACAAAACTTTAAATAATCTTTTTTGAATCTTTTTTTTTTTTTAAATAAGTCCATCTTTTGTGCCTAAATGATCAGTTGCTCATTTGGGGAATATTTTCCTCTCAATTTTTTGATTTTCCACTTCGTGTGCTAATTTTCAACCTAATCATCGCTGAAAAACAACATACTCAACAACATTGATAAATCATTTCTTTTTTTTTTTGGTTTTTTTTAACTTTTAACGAAACGAAAATTCCATTAGCATTAGCATTAGTCAAACTTGCAACACTGCTTGTGCGATGTTGGTGTTTGGTAATATGGGTGATGAGGGGGTTAAGTATCCATTGAATGAGAGAGGATCCTACAACAGCTGCTTGAAAAGCACGGCAAGAATGTCATCAGATTGATAGGAAGAAGCATCGACCAATTGACCTATCAGTCGATTTGAATCTCTCCATCATCTTTCTTACTATTCTGAGAAAGTAAATGTGCTTACATTCACATTTCACAACATTCAGTTAAATATCAGTTTATATTTCGAAACGGATTGTTTACATTTTTTTCTTGTTATTTAATTTGATATTTGATAATCGGCGTTAGCTGTAACATTTGTAGCCTCTCGTGCCTCTTTGTGTCTCTTTCATTGCTTTCATCAGTTGGTCAGATCAGTTTTTGATTTCATTTTAAAATTGCAGACTTTTTGGTCATATCTATCATGGCATAATTACTAGCTATAAATATAATTGAAATGGATCATTGGTTCTTCTTTATTTCATTTTACTTCTGTTTTAAATTTCTTTTCATTTCAGAGTGTGAATTGATTGCATGTTGACTAATTGTTGGATAATTTTGTTAGGGCTTCATGCCATCGTAGCATTTGAGGAATTCGAGAATAGTGATTCTGCCGCGGAAGATGATTTTGCTATGGAAGGAAATAGGGTAAGAAAAAATTTATTATTAACTATAACATAAAGTCTGACCGTGGATAGATTGGAAAGTAAATAGTTAGAGGATTAATACTGTGAGATTCCCTCGTAGACTTTTAGGCCCGATCATTTTTGATATGTAAGCTCTCTGCCTTTCTCTTTTCAATATAATTTGAGATTAAACGTTAAAAATATTCGGATTAAATTAGAAAAAACAGCAATGTCTAAATAACGGAAATGAAATCTTCAATAGCTGAATATTGGATGTCTGATTTATTGAGAAAGATTAATAGTTAAGTCCGAATTTAAAGCCTAGGAAACTTTATTCTCATTTCAAGAAAAATTTGATGAAATCAAAAAATTTGAAAATTTGCTCGTAAAAGTGAAGAATAAAATTGTCTATTATTCAGAAAATTATCAATTGGGCTTTAAATGAGATACGGTCAATTTTACTTAGCAATGGAAGAAATTTGGCTGATAGAAAGTAATTATCTTCATTTTTTATAACTATAGGATTTGTTGTCGTTGGCGATGGCAGAATATAACAAAATTTTCGACAGTAAGTATTGGTGGATTCCATTGGAATTGTTGGACATCAGTGTTATTCATGATGAAGGATTGTTCTTTCAGATCAAACTTGCATTGGCTCCTTCTAATTGTACAAAAGTTGTAAGATTTTTTTCTCTCTCACTTCAATTCTTCATATTAAACTTAAAATTTTTTGATTCCATTTTCACTGAAAAATGAAAATTTTCAGACTTTTACCAGCTATAACAATAAATATTGCAAAGCAAAAAAAGCGACTGATTTGAAGGTAACATTTTTGAAAAGCGATTGATTTCAAGAAGTGCTTGAAGTTTATGAATGTAGCAATGATTTAAAACTCAGTGATCTGTACAATAATTATACATCTTAATCATTTCTGTAATTTATTTCGAAGAATATTAATATTTTACAACTTACTTTTAGTGAAATTTTATATGGATCAGAATATAAATTATAATTTCTTGAAGAAATTCATAAATATTCATAAGTAATATAAAAGTTATTTTTGATAATTTTTTCAGGCTTGCACATTTAGAATATTTCAAAGAATGTGGGCAGCATCAGGGGGCATCCAATTTCGCACATGTTCCGACTATGTTCCATCCGAGAAACTAAATGAAACGAACAGGTTGCAATTATTTATAACTGTTAAGTAAATTTTAAATTAAGTGACGAAACGATGGTTGTTTTAGTTTCACATCAGATGCAATGGACATGAACTCATTAAAATCAGTAAAATCAGTGTTTGATTCGGTAGATTGGTTGGAATCGGATATGCTAACGTTATGGCGAGATTTTGTAAATTTCATGGAAACGTGAGAAATTTTTTGTTTTTTTCTGACATATTCCTTTTTTTTGCATTTAATTTAGAAAAAAAATTATCCGACACAATCAGTGCGATTGCATTAATCAACTTTGCTTTTGCGACGTATGAATGTGTCGGAATGCAGGTGCATTATTGAAATGAATGATATTTCATTTCTGTAATCCATTTCAATATTTCAGATTCAAACGAGAATATTCTTCGATAACGGAGAAATTAAATCGTTTCAAAATATATTTGCAAAATATGTATTTCGCACAAAAGTTACAGCATGATGAGAAAGGAACGGCAATTTATGGTGCAACGCAATTCAGCGATATGACACCCGAGGAATTCCAGAAAGTTAGAATTGGAATTCATTTGTATTTGCATTTTAAAAGTTTGCACTTTGAAAGATTTTGAAAAAGCAATCAAAGATGACAAATTTTTTGGATGTTCTTAGATACAATCATTTCATTTGATCAACAATATGTTTTATTAGTTTCTCACAAATGATTGTTTAATTTTTTTTTTTCGAAACCAAAAATGATATTTGAAATCAAAAACTAGAAATTTATTGGTTGTATTGAATTGGAGATCTGTCGTTTTATTAATAAACAATCGAAACTTTCAGATAATGCTACCAAGTGTGTGGTGGGAGAGCGTAAAATCCAAGTATATTGAATTAAATTTTAATTTAAACGATTTTAATCTTTCACTTAATCATCTACCAATAAATTTCGATTGGCGCACGAAAGGAGTTGTTACGCCAGTAAAAAATCAAGGTTCATAAGCTCATTGCTTGGTGAAATTACCAGAAAAAATATTAAATTGTTGAAGATAAATTTCATTTGCTAACTTTGATTGTCTTCTATATTATTTTATTATTTTTTACTACTTTACTTCAGTAATTATCTTTTAGGTTCCTGTGGTAGTTGTTGGGCTTTTTCGGTTACTGGCAATATTGAAGGTCTTTGGGCTATCAAAACAGGTAAGTTGATATCACTCTCCGAACAAGAATTGATTGATTGCGATGTGGTTGATAATGGATGCAACGGAGGATTGCCAATCAATGCTTTCCGGTCAGTTTACACAATATTTTGATGCGAAGATGAGAATCTGAATGATGAAGAAATTTAATAACATTCTGAAAAAACTGTTTTTTTTAAATTAAGAAAACTGAATTTTGTAAAAGTATGAGATCATTCCTGGACTAGAATAGAATAGGACAGAGCTTATCTTAGATTTTCAGAGAAATAAAACGAATGGGTGGTTTGGAACCGGAAGATAAATACCCATATAAAGGGAAAAATGGGACGTGTCATTTGGTCCGAAGAGATATTGCTGTCAGTATTGATGATGCTGTGGAAATTCCACGTAATGAGACTGTGATGAAAGCGTGGATTGCGCAACGTGGGCCTCTTTCCGTTGGTAAGTGGTTATTAGATATTACTGTAATTATCTTAAAATGGAAAATATGATGAGAAACAAGAATGATCGAAACTAATGTGATATTAATCAGTGGAAAAGAGCTTGATAGATAATTTTGAAATTTTTTCAGCAAGCGTGTAGGCTTTCCCTAACACATTATCATATCACCGCGGAGCAGTCAGTGTCATAACACATACAATTGAAATTGATTTTAAATTTCGCCAATTTGGTAGTCACAGTTTGAGTCAAATTTCTGATTTCCAGCTGATGGAACCATACTTCAGAATGACTTTTTTAAGGAATCGATGCGGAATTGTTGGCATATTATAAAAGTGGAATTCTTCATCCAACCCGATCACGTTGCCCACCGTCGAGGATTAATCATGGAGTATTGATTACTGGCTATGGTATTCAAAATCGTCGACCTTATTGGATAATTAAGAATAGTTGGGGTCAGCACTGGGGTGAAGATGGTTACTTCCGTCTGATGCGCGGTGGGGATGTTTGTGGCGTTAGCGACTTGGTGTCATCCGCAATCATTCATTGATCTTTTTATAATAGTTTATGAAACAAATGAAAATTGTAACTTCCATGCATTACAGTTTTATGACAGCCAATTTGAATTTTCATAAAAAATTGCGTGCTTATATTATACTTAAGACACGAAATTTCATTTATCAATTTGTGTTCATCAGCCGTTTTGATATACTTGCAACATTTCACTCAATTTATTAAAAATGCACACATATGTAACGAGATAAAGCATTTGATAGAAAAAAACATGGATAGTCCTATCTGCTGCGCATACGCTCCGACAATTATGCTTGCTATTGCTTCTCAATTTTTGTACTATAACATCATGAACTCAAAAAATGTACTGGACGCTTTCCGTGTATGGTTAAAACTACAATTCATTATCAACAAATTTTGTAACAACGTTTACAAAACACATGCAAAAAAACTTTTATATGACGTGCTAAGTTATGTGACAAAGAGTATAATTTCATCCCATCCTTTCACCATTGAAGAGAGAGGAATATCTAGATTCTCAGTCAATTCGATGTAGATGATTGTTGATAACAGTCAATTAGTAGCAACTGAAGGTAGAGAAATTATGAACGAGAGAGACTGAATATTACAGATGGGGAATCAATATAAAAACAAACAAATTCGCTATATTAGCAATTAACATATTTCTGTTCTTCACCACGTAAAAGCAAATTTTCCTGTGCTAGTTTTATCTGTTTTTCATCTTTCATTGCTACTCGTTGAAAATCGTTGTACCCACATTGCTAGAAACAATTTATTATATAATGACTGATAAGTAAATTTGATATATGTTAAAGGCAAGACAGGAATTAAAGATTTGTTTTTCTTGTTTAACTTTGAAAACAAATTTACTATATAATTACTGATAAGTGAATCAGTTACTATATTAGTAATTTATAATTTTCATAAAAAAAATCGCAGGCGATATCGCATGCTTCTCAATTGGAGTTTTTAGCTTAAAATATGAACAAGTGGCAAAGAAGTGCAACTTGGTCTTATGAACTTGATCTTCGCATTTATTTGTAACAAATGGCCAAGCTTTCTCAAATTAAAAAGACTAACCGTGCAAGGAATTGTAGGTAGTCTTTCGTACGAGACTGTGCGCCTATGACACCGTTTACAGCGGAAAAATCGCTTGTTGGCCTTGCAGTGTTTTACATTATGGTGTAATTGTTTGCATAAATCACTTTGTTTGTGTGACGTATAATTGCACTGCAAAACATGATTACAGATTTTTTTTCCTCCATGTGGTTGTTTCCGTGTTCAACATCTCCGCATACAAATTCTGATTGCAGATTTCCTGCCAGGATTCCAGTATGACTAACACAAACTTCAGTACTGGGTTCTTCTTTCCTCTTTAAATCCAAATGTCAGAGGAATATTTAAAAGGTAACGTGGATACCTGAGTGCACGTAATTACATTGTAATTTTTAATTTCCATAATGCTGGTCAGATAATTTTCCATTCTCTCTTTCACTTCCATGGCTTGGAAGTAGCGCTCTTCACGAATAGCATCTTCCTGGAAGATTTTAAGCGCTTTAGATGATTATCTATAGGCAAAATAGATTTTGACTTTCAATTTAAAATGAGGCAAGAACAACAATAACCAAATAGTCATGTATTTACCATTATATTTTATAAAATTTTAACGGTTCTAGAGCAAGAACCTCAGATTGTGATACCAAATTGCAACATATTGAAGCTTAAAATGTATTCTCATTAATACAAAATACAACAGTCTTTCATAAATTGCAACAGCAATACTGCAGCGTTAATATAAAAGTTGAAACTCTAGCAGAAATTTAGTTCGTTTGCATAATCATGACACGATTGAAGCAGTCAGTGAACTTACCCGACGAAGTTCACTCTCGTGATTGCTTTTTTTCTCCAATAGTGCTGAAATTTCATTGGCAGTATAAAAAGTTTTTGAGAATTTTCCGACTTCCTCTGAGTTGCCATTAGCATTCACATTAACTTCGGGTTTTTTCATTTTAAGCTGTCCTTTACGCTCTGGAGAAACTGAAGAAATGTTCAGTAAATTGAAGCATTATATTAACCTTTATAAATTTAATGTAAAGTTTTCTTCCGCACTGTAATTCAACCAAAGTCCTAAAATTGAACCCGTTTGCGCGGTGATTTTAAATTCAACTGAATTCGGAAATACGAAAATAAATAACAATAGAGAGACTGTTACAAGAAATATTTCTGAAATTTTTTTCTAACCGAGTTATTACTGCACACTCAGCAGTGATAATAATATAGTTTCGGCCAAATTATTTTAAAAAAATGCTTTTAACTTATGTTCTTACAATATCTTTGTATCACAGTGAAAAATGCATAACGAAATGAATGACTATAAAAAACAAAATGACTTACAAAGCAAACGTCTTTTTATAGGCCTGCCGTTGATTGAGTTTGGATCAGCTTTTTCCAGACCACCTCTTTTCATTATTATTGCAATAGCTTTTCGCTGTAAACAATTACAATGCACCTCGAGTCTAACTAGTAAATGAATGCTTTATAGTATGGGTCCGATTATAGCTCGATTATCACCGTTTCAGTAACTGCAATATTGCTAAAAGAGGCATTGCAGTAAATATATCTGTTGCTGAAAATTCACGAACCTTAGCATTTTCTGAAGCACTTGGTTTGTTGACAACTTTCCTGGGGCTAATTAGTAAGACAGATTCTGAGTTTAAACCTTTGCCAAGGACTGGAGAATACGTCAAACTTTTCTTTTCATCCTGAACAACAAAGTATAATACATCATATCATCAGTTCTATTATTTGATACCAATGTCTTCTTTTCCAGAAGCTATAGAAAGAATTATCTTAGCAGAATGCTAGATTCATTTTTTCTGATTCGGCAGTTGAAAAACGAAGCCCACGTTATTGTCAAACTAATTTGAGCTTTCTAATTGTTCTACTATGTTCTCAAGCAGTTTATCTAACGCAGGACTGTAACCTGAACCAATTAATGAGAAATGAGGATTGTATATACTATAAATTTTGTAAGCTAATCTCTCAGAAATTAAATCATTATCTCCAGTGTAGTTCCAGCTGGCTCAGTAATGATCAAAACCGGAGAAATTTACGAGTCAGAAACCTGCTTTTGCAGAAACTCTTTCAATGATTCATTGCTTTTTTTCTTTGGCAATATTTTTTCATTCGGTTGCGATGCGCTTCTTATATCACAAATTGAAGCCTAAAAGAGAAAAATAACTATGGAATTCCTTGCAAAAGCAAATAAGATTTCATTCGCAACGTAAAACTCGACTTCGGTGATTGCAAATGCAACTGAACAATTCGAATGAATTATTAGGGAAGTAATTAAATGCGCTAAGTAAAAAACAATGTCTAATTTCTGAGCAGTATGGACAGTAATGAAAAGCCACTTCATTACATAATTAACAAATAAAGGAGCTTACCTCTTTCACATTGAAAGCATCCAGTGTCTTCTTTCCACACTCCTTCAAACTATTTGACCGCATTAAACAACTCGACGTTTGCTGTTGTTTGAAATGTTTTCTACTCTCATTTATCGACAACGCATTTGTTGGAACTTTGGTAGTTCTAAAAACATTCGCCGCATCGTATAAATGATAACTCTTTTTTATCAGTATAAAGATTATAATTTTATATATCATAGTAAAAGTCAGGAATTTGAAATCACTTTTAGTTTGGTCAAAATCTCTGCATAATATAAGCTAACCTTCTCGAAACTGTAACTATATTCCCCGAAAATGAGTTCGATTCTTGCAATGGTAACTTTCGTTTGGGATTTGATAGCACAGAAGCAAACGAGCCACGATTTGCTGTGAATTTCTGAGCTGCTCGTTGAACATGATAAATGCAGCGCTCGCACTGCGATAAATTTACCACATTCTGACAGATTCCACCATTTTTTTTGACCACCTGTTTGAAGAGTTAAGTGTTTTTACTCTTGGTATGGAATTCTTGACGAACACTTGATCAAAAAAGTAACAGTATGTTCCATTACCAAATTCTGATCAAGTAAAATAGCTGTCTTGAAGAATTATACAATTTTTACTCAACATAATTTCTGGTCTTTTAGCGCACTGATAGCGTAAAAAATCATTAGCACGTTCTTTAATTCTTTTTTGATTCCTAAATAAAATATCCTATTTCTAATAAGTTTGAAACAAACTTTGCAATGACCAAAATCCGGGCAAAATCCCATTTCCAAAACTTGTGCACATTTCGTTAATTTCACTGTTACTGGAAAAAAACTAAACAATAGAAACAAAATGAAATAAGAAAAATGAATGTAATATCAGATCAAATGGAAAAATTCAATAATGAATACAACAGCTAGGAATCTCATGTACTGTTGCGTGACGTATTCATTATGTTCTAAACGAAAGGTGCATCTGAATTAGGCATGTGAAAAATGACTGCAACGAAAAAATTGAAAAGGCTTTTATTTTACCCTGTTTATCGTCGCCATCAGCAAAAGGTGGTGCTACAAGCGCAATAACACTACCAAGCTGCAGTTTCCAAAATTTTTTGATACAATCACCGAACACGAGAACTTTAACATTTGTATCTGGAGAATTCTGAAAAAGAAATTTTATTTCTATCTTTGAAAACTCTATAGCGACAAAAGTTTTTATAAGAAAAAAAATAGATGTTAAGCGACAGAGACACTGACTTTACAATTTAGTTTCAAAAATAATATACCGTTAGGTCGGAAGTGTTCCAGATCATATACTCGTTTCCATTTGCGCTTTTACGACAACCTGTTTTTTCAATGATAATTGCCAAAGAAATCCATTTATCACCCAGTTTCTATAAATTAAACACGTCATTAAACCTTTTTGACCCAAAAAGTTTTGCTTAATTTACACTTACAATCTTCAACATTGACAATCACACAGTTACAACATGGTCGAATTAAAAAAAGAAGTCTGAGATAAAGTTCTTACAGAAAAAGATTTCAGTTGGCTCAGGCGGATTCTTTTCAAACCATCACAATATGATTGAAAAGCTGCTGATGAAAGTGTTGGATTCCTGTAACAGCAAGTATACATCATGTTTCATACTACTGAGATTCGATTAATATTAATTTTTGATGAAACCATGATTTGGCAAACAGAAAGACTTTCTTCTAATGGTCACAATACGAAATGTTAAAAAAAGGAAAAAACTATTTTTTCCTTTCGAAATTCAACTTAAAAGACACAAAAAAGCGAGACATAATTATAGACAAGTTTTCTTCGTCATTAAATGAACTGATTACCTGATACGAATACCAAAAAATGGATCATAAACTTTCAACGCATCTTTTGATGATACTTCGACAGCTCTTGTAACTTGCTGAGCTTTTTCTTGAAGTGAACGACGATTTTCTTGGACGGTGACTTCTTGTTTCTTTGCAGATTCCCTCTGAAACAAATACGAGATATTATAAAAAAGATTTAGTTTCAACATCAGAATGGTGACTTAGCACTTCTAGTAAAAACTAAAATGCAAATCAGTTCTTTTAAAAAAAAACCGGGAATGTTCACAGGCAAGTCTTTTTTTTTCACAAAATGAACTGAATACCTGATACCAATACTAATGATAAATGAATCAACTCCTTCCAACTAACGATAAATGAGTAAACAGAACGATAAAAAGAAGCCGAATTTGAGTTACGAAAACATTGCATTACAATACATACTCACCCAATATAAACAGTCCGAGCAATTCCTTTTCGCTTCTTTCAGTTGTTGTTTGATGCTTCGACCAGTATCGCTGAGATGGATTCTAAAACACTAAAAGGATAAAGTCAATGAGCTAAATGAAAGCAAGAAAAATATTACAGATTTTCCGGCAACTTTAGAATCAAAATGAAGAATCTAATTGACTCACACGCGATCGTTTCTATTCCATTCATCTTCGCTCGAGCTTGAGTCATTAGAATGCAACAGACTGCTTCCGTTCTCAGTTTTCTTCTTCTCATCACTACTGTCATCAAAATCTATTGGGATGAGAGATCGACTTGCTAGAATTCATTTTTGGCAAAATTTCGTTTTATTCTTTACGGACAAAGAAGCATTGATTATACATGGTTTGCAGTACTAACGTTGATACACATTTCAGTTCTGTTCTGCATTCACAAGAAAACAGATCAATAAAAAATAACCCACGTAAATTAGTAAATCTATCAATATAAGATAATAAGTTCATCATCCGACGTAAAACATTACATAACTCTTCATTAATTCTCATCATTTTCTTGCACTTCATATTTACATTATTTATTCGCGCTAATTACATTCGATATTGTTAAATCAACCTTTCTTCATTTTGTTTTTCATTCATTTTCTTTATTTCTCTGTCATTTTCACTACTGATATTCGTTAAACTTTGTGCTTAAAATTATAACAGAGCCATAAAACAGAAACGATGCCAAACGTTCAGTACAGAAGTACGAGACACATCTATTGAACGCAGATCAGTGTTATTTCCCTCGGATATAAATGAACTGTAAATGAACTGTATTATTAAAATGAGTAACCTTTACATTGTTTATCATCTCTGAACAAATTTAGCAATTCAGCGAGCGTGCCGTTCATGTCGTGTTTCCTTCAATCACTTCACAAAAATCCTATAAAGATCTTGATATCTTCTAGAAAATGATATATTGATGATCACCAGTCATTTTATGTGATGTAAGTACATTAGATCAATTATTCCGAAATATATAACAAAATCAACTTTCAGCCACTTGGCAGGTCAAATCTCAGGTCATGAGAACAAGCTTCGAGAATAAGACTATAGGACGATATTATGGATAGAACGAAAGTATGAGCGAGATTAAAAGTGGCAAATAGTAGCCACGTCCAACACCATATTATCAAGAGACCAAATGATAAATAGCAGCCACTGTCCAGTTCTTTGACCAATGACACATCATCAACTACAATTCAAATTATTTTCACGCGCGCTTACCAATCCTTCTTTATAAGACCTACCATGCGTGTTATGCATCACTACCGTAGTTCTCTGACTGGAAGACAGTACGGGACTGTAATGTATTTCCTGAGGTTGTCCCGCGCTTACGGTATGAAATGTAAGCTGCAGCACGAGTATACGTTTGTTATTAACTGTAGGTAAAGGTGCTGGTAGGAGTATAGGAATGATTAATGACAGAAACTAAAAATATAGTTTTCAAGTAAAAATATAGTTCGGTAATAATGATATATGAGACAGCCCCCTGAAGTTGTCATGATGTTCTGTTCCTTATTGATATATAACATCATTAAATAAGTCTTTTACATTTAAAAACAGTGATTATAATTTAACTTCACTATTTCTCATACTCATTTGACCAAAATTAGCTGGTAATTATATTATTTGCTATTGTAACGATGATAATTAAAAATTGTTTTTTTTTCATTTTCAGTATTGACAAAACAAATTCAAGCATTCAAACTTCGAATGGTCAATTTTTTGGCTCATCTAAATAACTAGCAAATCAATATTAAATATTAATGAGCATGTTTTTCATTGTTTTTAAGCGGACTTTTGATTTTCAGCTGAAATTATTCCTGCGATAGGATATAATTGAAAGAAATGTGTGTTATGTAAGCTTAAGTGTATTTTAATAACAACGCATTACATCTGCAATGATTCATTTGTTGTGCTTGATATTACTTTAACAGAATGTTGGGTAAATCATTTACAGAATGTAAATATTTATGAAAAGCAAAGCGGTTGATATAAAATCGTTTACTTACTGCTTCCTATAAATTTTGTTATTAAGGATATTGAACATACCACATCAATTTTTGATATAATGTAATTATGACATGCTTATAGCTACCGAACATTCTTTTTGACGTGATTTTAGTTACCTCTTAGGTTTGTTTAAAGTGTTCGGTAAATATTTCCTCAATGTCAGTAAATTAATTAAAACCTGTAAATATAAATCATAGACAAAGAAATATACATACAAAATGACATATTCAATGGCCGAATTGTTTAGATTCACTTTTTAGAACACTGTTAGGAATGGAAGAACAAAGAAGAGTAAGGGTACATTGTGTTTTTTATGATTAAATATACCTGGACTAAAGATAATTATTGTAGAGTATCCATTGAATTTATAAATTCCAATAACCACCTGATTTGTTTTGCTCATTTTCTTGTTTAAATAGGGAGAAGATAAGCAGAAGAAGAAAGTATATAGCATTAATTTTTAGATATAAAGGTAGCCAGATTTGTGATGGAAGATGAAAATACGTTAGAACGATCAAGCTACTTAATCAAAAGTATTACGTGAAGACTACCGATACAATAACAAGTGGCAGACGGGGAAAACAAAGATTCGCATCGATAGTCCCCTGATAATTTGTTCATTTACATACAAACAACAAACAAAATGATAATATCAAAGGTTAACGAAGTGTATAACGTTGAATTGACATAGTTGATATAAAAATGAATACGTCCATTCAAATGGAATCAATTAGCTGTTCCATAAGCAACGTTACACTCCCTGAAATATACATAGTTTTTTTTAATTAGGAACAATTCATGAAGACAACCTATTTCTGCCTATTTCAAGAGTCTAATTGAAGCATTGTTCTGAATATGTTTTTGTTGCTACTGTGTTTTTAAAATTCAGGAAGTGATTAGTTTTCTTTTCTAAGGCAATCGGAATTAAAGAAAAAAGAGCAAAATGGTATGCTTTGTTTTAATGGAATGCTTTAATAAATCAAAATAAAAGTGGTACTTACAGCACACGTTAATTCACAATGCCTTTTGGTATCGAATCGATTCTTGCTGCCGCCACATCCTCGATAGAAGTAGAGTTTACAGCGTTTGTCGCGATTACTGTAAAAATATTGTAAATTCGTTCGAGGAGGTGATTCGTCTTCCCGACAAGTCCGACCTAAAAATTCTGTTCTAGTTGCATAAGATTGTAACTTCAATAAAATTTGATATTGATACAGAATTTAACTCATTATGCTAGGAAGGAAAAAGTTGCTACTGATTAAAATAGGTAAAAGGATTATGGAAATGCAGCAGCAATTTGAAACTTGAGAAAAATAACCTTCATTAGGTTTTAAAAGGCAAACAGTTCCATCGGAAGTGGTTTTCTGAGTATATTCTAGTGACTCGAATGGATCTTTCATCTCTCCAATATCAATTTGAACTTCGTTTGTTTCTGTTTCGGGAGAAATCACATTACTCATTGCGTTGTTAAGCGCTACAAATATTATTAACTTTGCAAATAC